CTAAATTGGCTACCTTTTTATAAGGAAAGTCTTATTAAACGTAATACTTTAGTCTATAAAAGAGTAAATGATTATAATGTTCCAATGTACATCTGTAATTCCTTAGAAAGAAATTGTGACACTCATAGTAGAGACACGCGTTATGATAATCTAAATCTAGTAACTCATAAATATAAGCGTGAAACAGAAGGTGGACATACTTTTGCAGTCAGGACCGCAAAGAAATGGAATGCATTAAAGACTAGCCTTAGAAACCAGGCTTCTATTAGATGTTTTAAGCGTACTTTTTACAAGGACCTTTTAGATGCACAAAAGGCCACTATGCTTTTTTAAATAGTAATATTTTATAAATTAGTTTTAGACAAGAGTATCGTACTATATATTTATTATAGGGCCACAGGTTTGTCAGTAGCTATGCTAACTGTTATGTGTTACCCTGTTTAAATAAAGTCCATCAATCAATCAATCAATCAATCAGTCAACTTCAGTTTGTGTGACTTATCTAGTAATGATGACACAGTATCCCACTATGCAACTTGTGAAGAAATCGAAACTGAGACCACCAGCATTCCTGTAGTTTCACCACACTTTTATCCTCATATGGAGGCCCAAACTAATGCTTCCATTGAAGTATATTCTATTGATACAGTATCACCTGATAATCTCCCACCTGGTACCACCATTGTTCCTACAGTATCACCTGACAATCCTCCACACGATATCACCATTGTTCCTACAGTATCACCTGATAATCTCCCACCTGGTACCACCATTGTTCCTACAGTATCACCTGACAAACCTCCACATGATACCACCATTGTTCCTACAGTATCACCTGACAATCTCCCACCTGGTACCACCATTGTTCCTACAGTATTACCTGACAATCCTCCACATGATACCACCATTGTTCCTACAGTATCACCTGATAATCTCCCACCTGGCACCACCATTGTTCCTACAGTATCACCTGACAAACCTCCACATGATACCACCATTGTTCCTACAGTATCACCTGACAATCTCCCACCTAGTACCACCATTGTTCCTATACCACCTGACAATACCCCTACCATATCTAAAGATGAACCTTTCAATCTTCTTTGTGGACATCCATGTCAAAAGAGACTGAACAGGATATAGCGCTGGGATTAGTTTGTTGTAAAGAATTGGAGAAATTTCATAATATAAACCCAATGGCAAAGGAAGATGTCAACAGCACAACCCAGATATTTATGATCCAATGAACGTGAGTTGTAGCAACCACTAAGCTGTATGGAAACAGATTGTGTAACAATATACTTAAATAATTAATTTGTAATAGACCAATCATTGTGTCACAAGTCACGATATATTTAATTGTTCATAATTTACTGTCTTTTTCTTTTTGTTTGTACTGCAGTAGCATCCTATTCATTAAATGTTGATGATTCATATAACTGAAAAAATAATATTTTTTTAGAGCAAAGTGAATATTGCAAGCATCAGTGCCCGGCAAATCCAAAAACGCATTGAGACATCTGGATTTACAAAAAATGCTGAAATTCAAGTGAGTAATATAATATTTCCAATAATTTTGACTGGTTTTGCAATTGCAATACTCTGAGTTAGACAGTGAGAATAAAATTTGTTGGCATTAGGTGGAGTAAAATCTGTTAAGAGGCCGGCTTCGGCGGCAATGGGTTAATGATCATTGAAAAGCAATCCATTTGCAATGTGTTATTAACAGATGTTCAAGTACAGTACACATGTTTATTCTCTTCTTAGATGCAGGCACTCACAAAAGCTAAAGAGGCTAATCTCTACGGGCGGTGGTGGATAAAGGCTGATGCATGTGACATTAGAAAAGGTTTAAGAGAAAGCACACATGGGCTGTGGGCTTGTGATGAGGATTTAGGTGATGGATCATTACAAATACTATTTAAAGAATACAAAGCAAGGTGCTCATTTGTCAGGAATATTGGTTCTACACATAGAATAGATTGGATTTTCAGGGACATCAACAAAGTGGTCATTGACCTTCAGAATGATTTGTATTTCCTAACAGCTGGTGCGAAAGCTGCAAATGATGCATACAATAAAGCTGTCAAGGAGGGTCGGGCAGCTGAAAAAAGCATGATGGAATTGGCTTGGGATGCTGCTGGTTTGATGATTTGATTAGGAAATTACAAAGTCTACGGTCTGCTTTAAATGATTTTCTTTGTGGTTCTGATGACAAGAATGTGAACTTGTGCTCAATCAAAGTGGAGCTTTTGAATTACCTCATAGGTTTATTTTCCAAGAAGCGAACAGCTGCTACACATTTATTAGTATTTATGATTGCAGACGAGCAGAGAAACCATAAGCCCTATGCAATTCCTGTATGGTTCTTGCCATATATGTCCTTATCTGATGGGAAATTGAGAGAGCTTGAAATCCAGCTGGGAGATTCTATGAGGAGTAAAGGAATGACAGTTGCAGGTTTGTGACAGTTGTATACTGCGGTAACACCAATCTTGATACTTAGTATATTTTACCAGGTATATTACTTGTAAATTTATTTTTAATTACACCTCTTTATTTCAGGGTTCACAACAGATGGTGAATTTAATTCACTTCGCACAATGGGTAGAACACGACCAATATCTATAATCCAAGTGTTAAGGGATGCAAGAAAACAAGCAAAAAGTATTCATGTGAAAACCATGTTATCCTATTTCACTCTGGATGAAAAAGGTATTTGCTGGTTTTATCAAAGCATTTATAATATAATACTGTAGATTAAGGAAAATAATTATTACATTCATTTGCCTGGTAAATGCTTTGTTTCAAATAACCATTAAGTATATGAATTTGATTTTTAGGGCATCCAGTCTGTTGTCATCCAGCTATTCCTACATTCTTTATGTCAAGTCAAGAAAAGCCAGTGCCATTTGAAAATGCTGTCAACATTTTGCGGAGGAAGTTATTCCCATTCATGTATGATCCACACCCATGGATTAAAGGTACAGTAGTTTTACATACAACCGTGTATCACAGCCTGGCAGTGTAGCATATGGTAGAGATACTGTAATCTGACAATCCTCAAACTGATTGAGCATGTGTAATTGTTTTATGCAGGGCGACCTGAAACCACTGGCGAAGTCTTGAAGTCCATTATGGCTATCTTCCTCTACTGGAAACGTGTTGATGATTTGAAGGGTCCATCCAACTGATCCTTCAAATTTTACTGATAACCTATACCAACCAGAGATAGATGCAAATGGCGAAAAGATGAACGAAAACGGCGAAAAACGTTGCATCTCAAGGGTTCGTGGAGGGCACATTCCAGGTTTAGATTTACGTCATCTCAGGGATGTTTGCATGACCCTTCAACTGGTTTAACTTATGCTGCACTCACAGGAAAGAACAAGCAATCTGTCCCTGACTGTGAGCGTCTCATAGGCCCAGGAGTGATAGCATTCCTTGAAACAAATGGTCATGTGAGTGATTCTGCCATAATAAAATGTCTTCAAAACTGGTACAAAGCAGTGGATGGGCGGGGTTTAACAGAAATGCAGAGATCATCCTACTATAAGGATATGAAAGACTGGTTGTTGGCTGACTGGATGCCTTACTATCATACCCTTCCTGATTACACATACATGGATGTTAACAGGTATTTTACAGGGATGTTTAGACATAGTAGATCAATAAGTGCAACGTTTCTAGCTCGTTGTGCATTGCCTTTACTCATATTAATAAGCTTTGTGATTGGTTGATTACAACAATGAAGACACAACTATAGAAATAAACTTTCAAGAGCAACAAATAATCAAAGACAGTGATAGTGATCACTTTTGGTTTGGTAAGCCTGTCACAAAATGTTTACTCGGTTTTACAGTATGTCAAAGCATTCTTTAAATATCTGTGTCAATGCATTATGCATAGCAAGTGGTGTGAAAATTTTCAAATTTTTCACTTCTTTTATTTATGGTGAGATATTTTTATTTAAACACAATCTTGATATTTTATGATTGTAGAAAGATAAAGGGCACATGTGGCCTGACACAAGAGATCGTGATTGGCCTAATAGCCAACCTGGAGAGTAGAGAGCAGCGGCGTGTAGAATACCAAGATCGTGGTATTGCCCCTGAACACCCCCGTGCCTCCGGAACCGATGATGTTGAAGGCATTATTGGCCTTATGCATGAAATGCTTGGAGATATATTTGATATGAAACAGTTTCTTGATGCCCAGAAGAAAATCCTGAATGAATTCACCAAGAGAATTAATCCCAATCTGAAGTTTTTCTATGGGTCTGGCTCAAAGGAACGTTATTCAGATTTTGACTTGCCGTCATTTAATCAGCCATCACATGGTAGAAAGCAAGAGAGACTTGACATGGTAAATTTGTCATGTAGGGGTGATCCGGGTGTCTTTGTGGCAAACCGTGCGTCTTTGCCACAGAAGGGTCAACTCACTGCACGAGCAAAGTTCCACAAGCAACCTGTGGAGCTTCCACCATTACAAGATAAATGTTAATTATTGCAACTGGTTAACTACAAAATAGTTTAAAATATTTATTTCACAGTTTTACTGGCATGTACTACTTTGTTGTCCCATAATCCTTTTTTTGTGATTGTGATTGTCAAATAGAGCCGATCATGCGGAAAGTTGTACAACGAATTTTCTCCACTAATTAATACATTAAGTGCCTTGTCAGATAGAACTGGGTGAACATATTGTGTAAGTTCTTTTGCTATGTACCCTACTTTTTGATAGTTGGATGAAGATTTTACATAAACTGCTATTGCATTTTTATCATACACATTTTAAGGTTCAGCTTCTAATTTAGCAAAAACAGATCTGTTGTGCTCCTCTAGATGGATGTAGGCATCCTCAAGGGCCTTTTGCCGGTCCATACTATGACAAGTTCCTAGAACCTTGAACGGCAAACTGTGATACATATCATGCACTGGTTCATCATGGACTGGTTCATCATGCACTGGTTCATCATGCACTGGTTCATCATGCACTGGTTAATCATGCACTGGTTCATTAGTAGACCCCATAAAACCATCGCTGTCTTCACAAACACTCGAGACCAAGGAAGTTGACACTAATCTCCACAGAACAGTATATATAGAACCACTAATTGCAATTTCACAGTGTGAGGTACACATGAATGTTCCTGGTTGTGTATCTGCCACTTTGTACTTTTCAATGACGCCCATACATATCCTTCCATCTTTCTTAAATTGGACAAATGAAAATTCCAAGGTCACTACTGGGAATTGTGGGATCTTCCATAAAACTGATGACAACTTTTTAATGTGGATAATGTCACATATGAATTCTTGGCAATTGCTATCATCTAAAATGTGAAATTGACATGTAAGTAATTGTTGATGCACAGTTAGTCTTACATTTATAGATCAGTGTAAATGTGTAATTTATAATATCCTACATTGTGATAATAAAACAGCCTATAACCTTTGAAGTCAATAGTTATTGAGTTCACTGCCTGTAACTGAATAGTCATTACAGATAGGAAAGGTGATAAACTTACCACCACAATCAGGTAATGCAGAGGAAACCAATGCAGGAACCTTCTTATTTGATTGTATAACAATTGACCTTTCCTACAGCATGATAATAATCATTATAACTCTCACTCATCACTGATCATTCTATAGACGTTTTCTCAATTTACATGATTTTAATTGATCTCAATTTCACATTATTGTCTTATAAGTTATACGTGCCTTCATGCAAATTCAGAAAGTACCCAATACATTCTAATACTTATTATTAATGTCTGAGTAGTGAATTTTACATAAAAATCTTATTTAACACATAAATTAATGTAAAATGCATGTCATTTAATACTTTACCTACCATAACTGGATAGTTATTTACTTTCTCCCTATTTTTTGTGTTTACATTTCCAACCACCATTTCCTTGGCATATAAATCATCCAGCAAACTTTATTATGTTAATTATTAAGGACAATAATGCAACTGAACTATTACCTGTCAATATTATTACATTATAACACAATCGTTATGACATTTCAATAATTTAAGTATGGATACTCTCCACAGAGATGTTGAACAACTGCAGATAATGCAGTCTCACATTCATGTAAATGGGTTGTTGATAAAATATCCAGATTAAAAAGAGTTTGGTGTCTGAAAATAGCTTCAGCTCCAATGAAATGGTCTTTATATTCCTGTGTTCCTGCTTTCTTTAGAAGTAGTTCGCACAAGTCCTCATTTGGTTGTTGTATGAGGCGGTATGCTGTGTGTATGCCAACACCTTTCAAATTCTTGACATAATCACAACCAGCAGCTATACACATTTGCTTGAACTTTTTATGGTTTAGGTTTAAACCATTTAATATTTCAGACAAAGTAAAACATTCTCCATCTCCACTCATTTTCAGCTTAACCAGTACCTAGAACACAATTAAAGCAATTGTTAAATGCAGCAAATGGAAAATGTTGTGTTACTAGCAGATCGGCGTCTTGTTAAAAATATAAAAAGGATAACTTGAATAGTTTTAAGAGGGTTTAAATAGTTTTAATTTTCCAAAAGAAACATTTTATATGCAAACCAGTCCAACACATCCTGACTGGAATATATACAATAACAAACCTTTTCACATCCATACACCAAAATCTGAATCTTCTGTGATAACAAAATCTGCATGACCATGACATACCATATGGGCTATTTGTGCATCCGATTCATAGGGTGATACAATGTACCTCACACATTCTGCTAAACATATCTAATTAAAAAGAACAATGTATATAATGTAAAAAATGCACTGGGTGCAATAGAGTTATAGAGTTAAAAATATAGCACTTTATCATTTACTTACATTGACACAAACCATGATATCTTCAAATGTAATTGATGCTGCCCGGCTATATATACGATTTGCTTCATCTTTGGTAATGTTTTGCCCCTCAGCTTGTTTCAGAATCTGCTCTCGTTCTCTGTTTGCATTTTTTAAAAATATGTCTGTTTAAATTTTTGTTGTTAAAGTCAAATGTCGGGTACATTTAATTAACCTATTCATGACTGAACAGAACTCACCTTTGTCTTCTCTCATGCTCAATCGCTTTGCCTGGTAAATCAAATCCATCGAATACCACGAACGGAACAACACCTGATTCTTTCACTATCCGTAAATGTGCCTCGAAAATATCACCAAATCTATTAGTACGAACAGTTTTTTAGCACTCATTGACAATGACTATATAGTCAGACATTCAGTATTTCGAATGATCATGATCGTATGACTATAATAGTAACTATTGACTAACCTTATGCGATTCCCAGTTTGTTTTATAGACACACATAAAGCCTTGTGTATCCACCATGATGCATCTATTGCTGCAGTTTGACCAGCGAATGCTTTTAAATTACACTCCTTCCTGAATTTCTTAACAAAAGCTAGTAGTCCATTAATTCCCATATTAGTAAACAAAGTGTTAATGAGGTGCTGACATGTTCACTCAACCGTGGCCGACATGCAAATGAGATGAATTCGATTTTCATCCGTCATGCATTGCGACGCCAGTTCGTACACCGCCTGCATATTATTGATGATAAATGATGGTTGCCATGGCAACCATTATTTTAATTATGACGATCTTGATCATATTTAGTATATTATTCATGATAAATGATAGTTACCAAGGCAACCATAATTTTCATTATGACGATCTTGATCATATTTAGCATATTATTCATCATAAATGATGGTTGCCATGGCAACCATTATCATCATTTTGATGATAATGATCAAAATTAAATATCAATCATAATAAATTATGGTTGCAATTGGAACCATGATCATCATTATGATGATCTTGATCATAATTAGTATATTATTCATGATAAATGATGGTTACCATGGCAACCATAATTTTCACTATGATGATCTTGATCATATTTAGCACATTATTCATGATAAATGATGGTTGCCATGGCAAGCATTATCATCATTTTTATGATAATGATCCAAATTAACATATCAATCATAATAAATTATGGTTGCAATTGGAACCATGATTATCATTATGATGATCTTGATCATATTTAGCATATAATTCATGATAAATTATGGTTACCATGGCAACCATAATTTTCATCATGATGATCTTGATCATATTTAGCATATTATTCATGATAAATGATTGTTACCATGGCAACCATAATTTTCATTATGATGATCTTGATCAGAATTAGCATAATATTCATGATAAATGATGGTTGCCATGGCAACTATTATCATCATTTTGATGATAATTATCAAAATTAACATATCGATCATAATAAACTATGGTTGCAATTGCAACCATGATGATAATTATGATGATTTTGATCATATTTAGCATATTATTCATGATAAATGATGGTTACCCTGGCAACCATAATTTTTAATATGATGATCTTGACCATTTTTAGCACATTTTTCATGATAGATGATGGTTGCCATGGCAACCATTATCATCATTTCATGATAATGATCAAAATTAACATATCGATCATAATAAACTATTGCTGCAATTGCAACCATGATGATCATTATACTGATTTTGATCATATTTAGTATATTATTCATGTTAAATTATGGTTACCAATGCAAACATAATTTTCATTATGATGATCTTGATCATATTTAGCATATTAGTAATGATAAATGATGGTTACCATGGCAACCATAATTTTCAATATGATGATCTTGATCATATTTAGCATATTATTCATGATAAATGATGGTTACCATGGCAACCATGATTTTCATTATGATGATCGTGATCATATTTAGCATATTATTCCTGATAAATGATGGTTGTCATGGCAACCATTATTATCATTTTAATGGTAATGATCAAAATTAACATATCAATCATGATAAATTATGGTTGCAATTGCAACCATGATGATCATTATGAGGATCTTGATCATACTTAACATATTATTCGGGTTTGGTTAAAATGCGGAAGCGGATACGGAACGGATCAACGGAACGGAACGGAACGAATATGGGGTTAAAATGCGGACGGATATGGGGTTAAAATGCGGAATGGATATGGCGTTAAAATGCGGACGGATATAGGGTTAAAATGCAGAACGGATATGGGGTTAAAATGCAGACCGATATGGGGTTAAAATACGGAGCGGATATGGAGCCGCATGGAAAATCTAAACACGATATCTTTTTATTTTTCTAAAAACCTGACACCACAAATAACAGAAAAGTCCTAAACTTCCCGCAAATGCGCAAAAGAAATTTCCGCTACACAAAGAAGCAGGAGCAAAGGGATTACTGTTTCCGATTTCCATATTTGACCGAATCACCGACACGTTGGGGAATTTGGTCTTTAATATTTTGCTATTTTTGCCACAATTTTCGCCCGAAGCAGGATATTTTTTATGCCCGTACCTTTTTGAAAATTTTTGAAATTTCTTGAAAATGAAATAACAAATTTTAAATGTGGAAGACTGCATTTTGAAAATGAAACTAAATACTTCTATTTTTTGCTCATTCAATTGTATTATTTTGTACGTTAGTGAAACACGCTAGTCGTCAGGATGTCCCTTTTTGGTGGCTTTACACCAACAGCTCAGGCTGTCGAAAATGTTAGCACTTCTGCAGCATTTGAGGACGTGAACTTCCCGAGCTTTTCATTTCGAGCGCTTTTGAACAAAGATGAGATTGGACGCGGAGGGTTTTCCTCCGTTTTTACAGCGGAATTACCACAAAGTAGAGAAAAGGTGGCTGTGAAAAAGTTTTTAGGAAGTGATCAAATAGACGCCAAAATCTTACTGAAAGAGGCAAAACTTTTAAACAGTTTACGATATCCAAACATCGTAGGATTTAAAGGTATCTGTAAGGATAATTACGCATTACTTCTAGAATTTGTCCAGTTCGATTTCAAGCCTTTTGGGATAGACCTGCTGGTGAGTTCTCTTGTGGAACTACTGTGTCATTTTGACAAATCCGACTGTGAACACGTTTCGGAAAAAGTGTTTTATAGGGCCGTGAAAGATGTGGCACTTGGAGTCCAATACCTTCTCGTCAAAGGACTTGCCCACCGAGATTTAAAGCCGGCAAATGTTCTTGTCTCGAACCAACATTACAGTGGCATGACAGACCAAAATGATATCGAAAGAGAAAGTTTAACATCACCTCTAGTGTGCAAGTTAACCGACTTTGGTGAGAGTCGATCACGAGGAGTTCAAACCAATACCATCATAACCAGCAAAACAAGTGGGATCGGTAGAGGCACACCAGTTTTTATGGCACCGGAAATCTTAGTCAAAAACTCGTCTGTCAGAAAAGCCTCACTACCGTTTTTGCAAAAAGCCGACTTATGGTCGTTTGGAATGGTCGTGTTTTGTATCATTAACCCAGGTTTGAAACATCCTTACGAGTTAAACATCCAAATGGAAGGGAATATCATGAGCGCTGTTGTGTGTTTAGAAAAGATGATGGAGTGTCGTTCAAAACCGATACCACAAGAGAAGTATAGCAGGAAGCAAAGCGAAGAATGGAAAGAATTGCGACATTATTCAAAGGTTACATTTACGAAAGTCACCATGAAATGCTAAAAGAAGTTCTGAAGATGCCTCAGGCTCAGACGGTGAAATACATCTTAAGGTTAGCCAAGCCTCATTTTTTGAACAATGTAACAAGCTTGCAGCAAACCAAATACAAGCAGGTCTTGTGCTTGACCAAGAAGAAATCAATCAGCTAAACTCGTATGTAACATCAGGCGATGCCACTAATAGTTGCACGTTTCTTTGCTTAAAAATTGCTGATAGCATTTTACGGGCAAATGTTACCGCTTCGATAAATTTATGGAAAGATGTTGCTGAGATATCTGAAAGTTTTATCTTAACTCTTCCTGAAGATATAAATAATATCCGCCAGATCTCATTGACCTATGATGTTATGGAAACATACACTTTATTGAAAAACGCTAAATTGCTTTCATCGGACTATACATTTACCGAAGAGTTACCATACGCGTTCGGTGTTTTTTCAGATGAAGGCAAGGCAAAGCTGGCCAAAAAGATTGAAGAACTCATGAAAAATCCAGGAGAATCACTCGTCGCGCTATATACATGTGAACCATACACTCTACTTCTTGGTTTTATTTTGGATAGCGTATTTATTTTGGATACACACGCTGTTCCAGAAGATTGTGGTGGAATGGAAACAGGCATGGTGAAAACATTCCATGGGCGACCAGAAATGGCGTCAACATCCGCCTGCTCGTGGCTGTGGAAAAGGCTAGAGAGCGCTGGCGTACAGAATAGCTCACAATCCCTCTCTGTTATGAAGGCAGAAAAATCAAGGTATTTTTCTCTCATTTATCTTATCAGGACTCATTTATCTCATTTATCTTATCATTTATCTCATATTATTCGTAGTGTTGCTTAGACGAATCAGGGAAAAAGAATACTAATAACTTCTTATTAACCAAGAGCGAGGTCTTTACTGCGAAATATCCGACTGAGGTCTTTTTGAACAGACCGAGCTCAAAGAGCGAGGTTTGTACAAAAAGATCGAGGTCCGATATTTCTCGTAAAGACCGAGCAAGCGAGGTTAATAAAAAGTTTATTATATGGCATATGGCAAACAAGAAATGCGTTATAGTAGCCTGGTACGCATTTTAAAAACAAAAAATATTGAATTATTTCGTTTACCAAAACAGTCCAGAGACGTCTTATTAATTTATACAATCAAAAGCAATTAAAATTTCTTTCGAATATTCATTTGGGCCTTTTTCATTTCGAATTTATCTGTCTGTTTTTCATCTCGTAAATGGATCGCCGGTAACGCTGGTCTTTTCGGGATAGTGCCGGTCCATTACGGGAAAGTAATGGACCGTGAAAATTCTTCTCAGCCAATCACTCAGCTCTATTTACCGGAAATAACGCTTGGCATGTAAAATAATAAATATTAAGATAATAATATAGGAAACAGGCCCTGATTGCGAGTACTAACAGCAACGATGTGATGGAAGATATTCCGTCAAATATGGTAAGTAATAACAGTAGTTTGACAAAAGAGTTAAATTGATGTCACCAGAATCGAGTGAACACGATATTAAAATATGCTTTTGCTTAGAATGTTAATTGTTCTTCTCACGACAATCAGTTTCAAAACCTGAGAAAAGATTTCCTAATTTCCAAAAACGGTATATTATTATATGCAATAATATATGATATACATAAAACTATGTTTATATGAAAACCTAAGCTCGTGCGTAAATTTTTTAACGAATTTAAAAAAATGTCATTCCTACGCAGTTTAAACGGCCGAAGTGAAGTGTGCATACCATCTCCAACGGCACATTTTGAAAAACAACAAACACCACTTTCGTTTTCCTCAACGCAATACTCGGTAAATTTGTGATTAGCTCATCTGTGGTATAAATTATTTAGTTATAAAATTGT